AAGATGGTGGTGGAAAGTGGTGGCAGGTGGTGGCAGCGGAAGATGGTGGTGGAAAGTGATGGCGGATGGTAGTGGCGGAAGATGGTGGTGGCGGCGGAAGAGGGTGAGAAGAGACAGTGGTGGAAAGTGGTAGCGGGTGGTGGCGAGTGGTGGCGGCGGAAAACGGTGGTAAAAAGTGGTGACAAGTGACGGGTGGTGGCGGCGAAAGATGGTGGTGGAAAGTGGTGGCAGGTGGTAGTGGAAAGTAGTGGCGGAAGATGGTGGTGGCAGCGGAAGACGGTGGTCGAAAGTGGTGGCAGGTGGTGGGTGGTGGCGGCGAAAGACGATGGTGGAAAGTGGTGGCAGGTTGCGGTGGAAGATGGTGGTGGAAGTGGTGGTGGAGGGTGGGTGGCGGAAGATGGTGGTGGTGGCGGAAGACGGTGGTGGAAAATGGTGGCGGGGGGTGGCTAGTGTTGGGTGAAAAAAAAAAAAAACTGAAAACTCAAAAAGGAAACACATTTTTTGTGTTTTCATTTTTTGGCCAAATTTATAAACTGAGACCACTGATTTATAAATCAAAAATTTTACCAAACAAGTTTTTATTTGAGTTTTTTAAATTTTTGTAAATATAAACAGAAAACTGAAAACGTAAGTGTTATTAAACAGCACAGTTTTTTTGTTTGGATTTTTTTTGACTTTTTGGCTTTAGAATGAAAATTTTTTTATGTCTTTTTGTAATTTTTGTCCTTTTGTAATTTTTTGAAATTTTTTTTATCCTTTTGGGATTGTTTGGAAAATGGATTTAGGATTAAAATAGTCACAAAAAATAAAATAGACTTTTTAATCTTAATAACATTTAATTTATAATCATTACATTCTTTCTCTTACAAAAAAATTTAAAAAATAAAAAACCCTTCATAAACTAGACTTTTTAATTATTCTAGATTAAAATAATTAAAAAAATCCTCAAACCAAGCCTTCGTGATTTTTTAGCCTAAGAGAGAAACCAAACGGGCACTTAGAATCAACAACGAATGGGCTATACGCCTAAGTGTTGCGAAACCGATTGGAAAACTATGGGCGCTACTAGGACGCTCGCTCAGTGCTCTCAGACCAATAAAAGAAAAAAAAATAAAAAACCGTTCGAATGCAAAGAAATCCTCTAAATTCCAGTTTCAGTTTTCTTTTTAAATTCTGTTGAAACGCTCACAGATTCACGGTCTCCGTTTAATTCGATCTTTTGACTAACCATTGAAAAAGAAAAAGTCATTCCATCCTACGAACCACAACGTACGATTCCACGAGACTCAAATACACCCCCACATCATTCTATCTTTTCTAAAAATTATTTACACCAAAATATCAGAATTAAAATATCTCATCCTTATCCTCTTTATCATCTACGTATATTATATTATATAATATAGTCTTATCTCTAAAACCCTTTGACAACGGTCGTGTTATTCTGTAGAGACGATGATGAGATCAGTGCCTATTTCTTCATCTTCCAGTTTCCTTCTCGATCAGAACGATCTTCTTCTTCATCATCATCAATGTCCAGCGAGAGTTGTTGGTTCTTCGACTCCGACGATCTGTTGTTCTTCGCGAAGCAATTCTTATATACCAAAGCTCGAACCTTTTAGCAGAACCAAGTTCGATCGACTCGTCAGAGACCCTCCCTTGATCCAAAAGTCCGAAAACGAGCTTGCTGGTACGTTTCAGTCTCTTCCTTTTATAATTTCAACTCTCTGTAATCACTACTACAAAAATCAAGGAATTGTATATGTATGAATCGATACATATTGACAACTTGGCCGTAAAAACGTAATTATCAAGATACATACATGTCCTTTGGCTGCACTTATAAGGTAGTTTATTTTTATTGATTTATTACTTTGAGTCCAATTTTTTTAGACTATCCGTAAAATTACTTAGAAACTTTGGAATTTTTTCTGAAAAGTTCGATCGACTCGTCAGAGACCCTCCCTTGATCCAAAAGTCCGAAAACGAGCTTGCTGGTACGTTTCAGTCTCTTCCTTTTATAATTTCAACTCTCTGTAATCACTACTACAAAAATCAAGGAATTGTATATGTATGAATCGATACATATTGACAACTTGGCCATAAAAACGTAATTATCAAGATACATACATGTCCTTTGGCTGCACTTATAAGTTAGTTTATTTTTATTGATTTATTACTTTGAGTCCAATTTTTTTAGACTATCCTTAAAATTACTTAGAAACTTTGGAATTTTTTCTGAAAAAGTTGAAAAAAGTACTCTGTTTTTTTATTAAAAAAAAAAAATTGATTCAACATTTTTTTTTTTTTATTAAACATAAAAATGAGTCAATAGAAAAAGGGATAAACTACCAGGTTTAGACTTAATTATTATCATTTTTTATTGAAAATATGACGTTTTTTTGCATATGTCGTTAAAAATGGATAATTAGAGACTTTTTTTGTCATGGTTTTTATAAATTGTTGTTAAAATTTACTAATTTTTTCTGTGACATTTTTTAGACCGTTGAAAGTTGAAAATGAAATGAGTGATGTTTCTTTGTGATAGATTTGTTATTAGTGACATTTTTTGTGTAAAATTTTCAAACGGTAAAGTTAACAATTAGTGACAAGTTTTTAATAATGTTTGATAAAAAATATGGTTAATTATCATACGACCTGTGGAATAATAAGTTTACGTAAGTTCCCTTAAGAAAAACTAGTTTGTAGAAGTTTTTTTTTTTTAATACTAGATTGACTTTGGAATTTTGCCCAAAAATAAGAGGTTACTTTTCTGGTAGTTACAAACTTTTATTTTTTATTTTAATTAGTTCTTATTAAATGTTAGGGTTTTTATTTTATTTTATTTTATGTGATGAGTATAATTATATCAGTTGGCAATTTCTATTCAACTTCTATTAAAAGCTGATGATGATTGTTGCATGACTATGATTCACTATGTAGATAAGTGGGTTCATGATCATAATATTAATTCCAGACTAATTTAGTGTATCCTATCATTTTTTAAATCATATATTTATGTTTTGTTCTAATGTTTAGATTACTGTTCAACCCTCGAAGGAGACCCGTCCTATAGCTGTTGGAGAGCCTACTTTGAACTCAAAGATCTCGAAGTATGTTTCTTTTTCCTTTCTTTTTCTTTGTATGTTTCATAGCTTACCAAAACCCATCTTCTGTTTGGTTGCTAAGAAAACCACTGAATTCAAACAGTATATGATTTTTTTTTTTCATGTTGCAATTTCAAGGTCAACTCAACAAAGCCAAAAACTTGTTTTCGTTGTTTATGTAGGACCTAACTTAATTATTTCATTTTCCCAGAAAAAGTATCCAAAACAAGAGGTAGAGAAGCTGATAATTCAAGCGGGCGGAGTAAAAACTCTGATCGGCTGCTTGCATGGAATATCAGAAATTCACAGAAACAAGAAGGAAACCGATGGATCGGCCAAGACATTGATCGAAGAGAAAACTACAGAGAGACCTCTTCATGTGCCGGATGGATTGCCAAAATCAACAGAAGAGCTCGAAGAAGAAGAGAAAGCAAAAATGCCTGATTCAGCTTTCACACGAATGCTCAGAACCAAGGGGAGGTTCCCTGCCTGGTACTCTCCTGCACCCGATCACGAAACAGATTGATGTATCAATATATACATGAACTCGACGATAGTGACTTGAAGTTATTATGTATTTTTTGAGTGGTTGTGCTCTGTAAATGTTTTGTTCAAGTTTGATATTTGGGATTTTGGTTTGATCCTTTATTGTGCAAACAAGGCTCAATCTATAACCTCTCTGTGTCTTTTTTTATTTCTTTCTTATTGTGTGTATGGTTTTTGAACTAGAAATTAGTTTGGGTTGAAGATGGTTGTCCATTTTGGGATAATTTTAATGTTTGTATGAATCTATGAATTAAATGGAATTTCAGTGGCAAAGGCAGCCATTAAAATCATTGTGGTTGACGTTTGGAATGTCAAATTAAAACTCAGATCAGAATAAGATTAAAGTGATGTGAATTACAGATGTGAGCAATTCAGTGAGCCATGATAGAGTTTTTAGCTGAAATCAGAGCTACACAAATTTGATGAAGTGTTTTCAAACAGTGCCCAGCCAAATCTCCGTTGGGAGAAAAACCACAAAAATCACAACTTTTACTACAAAAATTTGTAACCTTTTCATTAATAGCTTTTCTTTCTTGAAATTTGTTTACATGTTGATTGGTAAAATTGGAGAAAAAAAATGCTATTATTTGAACTTTTGGGAGAAATTATAAATAAAAATAAAAATTTTAATTGTCCCAATTGAAAGTTAAAAAGAGGTTGGTAGTAGTTTAGAGGGAAAAATTATCCTTACTGGAACATAGATTATGCTCTGCTGGTTGTTAATCAAAGTAAATGTGTATAACGGTAGGGCTCGAGCATGTTTTGAAGTGTTACAATGGTGTATCCAGAGTCGTGTTAAAGAAATTCAGGTTCAGACGGATAGTCCAGAGCTTGTGAGACAACTGAACAATTATGTTAATGATGTTGATTGGCAGATTAAAACTATCCTATTACATATTAGGTGATTATTCAGTACTTCCGGGATATGTGACAAGAGTCCACGATTTATGGTGCTTCATAAAGTTTTGATTGGTGGAAAGATTGGTGGAAAGACACAGGAGTCCACGATTTATGTTGGTGATTAGGGGACAACATGGGGCTAAGTAATTGGTAATTGATTTGGAATATAGACATGTAATGCTTCGGGAGTATTGAATAATTTTCCTTAGATATTAAGGTTCTATGTAAATATATAGATTATGTGCGTATTGTAAAGGTATTTAGGAAGGTGGTTCAAGATGCTCACAATGCGGCAAAATTAGTTTCATTAGGATAAAGCTCATTTTGTATGATGGTAGTGACCGTATGTTTCATGATATATCTATATATATAATCGTTATTCCTCCAAAAAAAAATAAATAAATAAATAAAGTAAATGATTTTTTGTTAGTTTACACAAATGTGTCATAGCAAAAATTATTGGGAGAGCAATCAAACCATCCAAATATTTCATCGCAACATGTGTGTAAATGACCAGAAATAGGTAAGTTGGTTAAAGGAGGACTTGGTCATCATCAAAATTCAGCCATTGCTATTCCATCTCCATTCCAAAGCATGCAAAAAAAACCTAAATTTGTCTCTGCTATTTTGGTGGTTTTTCAAATGACCAACCATGAATTCCGATGCTATAAATGGGGGTCTCCCTCTCTCCAACCTCCATATAACACCATCCTCTATCTTCCCATTGATGAATAAGCAGCCTTAGGCCTCTCTCAAGGTGGTCTAAGATGGCTAACCCTCAAATAATAATAAGGGCCTCTGGCTGCTTCCTCCTCTTCTCCCTTCTCTTTTCTTCTTCTTTTTCATTTATTTCTTCAACCTCCTCTACCGGTCGTCGCCAACTCACAGAGCATCATGTAGGTGTAGACACCATTGAAATTGAAGCTGAGAAACTCAGTTTCCCCAATTCAAGACTCAAGAGAGCTTACAAGGCCCTCCAGGCATGGAAAATGGCAATTTACTCTGACCCAAACAAAATGACAGCCAATTGGGTTGGCCCCAATGTGTGTTCCTACACCGGTGTTGGCTGTACTTCGGCACTCGACAACCCTTCTTTGAACGTTGTTGCCGGGATTGATCTCAACCGCGGTGACATTGCCGGGTACTTGCCCGATGAGCTAGAGCTCTTAACCGACGTTGCTATCTTTCACATTAATTCAAACAGGTTCTGTGGCATCATCCCCGAGGGGATGGGGAAGCTTAACCTTCTCCGCGAATTTGATGTCAGCAACAATCGCTTCGTCGGTTCATTCCCAAAGCCTGTTTTGGAGATGCAATCTCTTGCTTATCTCGATTTGAGGTTCAATGACTTCGAAGGACCATTGCCAGCCGAGCTATTCAAGAAGGACGATCTTGATGCTTTGTTGTTGAACAATAACCGGTTCACTGGCACCATCCCCGAAACATTAGGTGATTCGCCTGTTTCGGTGGCAGTGTTTTCCAACAACATATTCACCGGTTGCCTCCCGAAAAGCATTGGAAAAATGAAGAATTTGAATGAAATCAATTTTTCGGGCAACAAGATGAGCGGTTGTTTGCCAGAGGAGATCGGGTTGTTGGGGAATGCGACAGTGATAGATCTAAGCTTTAACAATTTCACCGGAGTGTTGCCAGTAGGGTTTAGTGGGTTGAAGAGTATCGAGATTTTGGAATTTACAGGAAATAAGTTGACGGGAGGTATTTCAGAGACGATTTGTAGCTTGCCAACGTTGAAGAACTTGACATTTGCGGACAATTTCTTCAAGAAAGTGGGGAAAACTTGCTATGTGAAGGATAAATTTGATTTGTTCAATGACGAGACTAATTGTTTGGATGGGAGGCCGAACCAGAAGTCGAGAGAGGTTTGTTTGCCCATGGTGACTCGGCCAATCGATTGTAGCAAGCAATGCCGGCCGAATTCTGAGGACCCTAGCCCGGTTGGACCCAAATCACCAGCACCAAAACCAGCACCCCAAACTCCATCGAAGCCGACCCCATTGACACCAAAACCAACACCCAAGCCACAACCTCCAAAACCAACACCAACACCAACACCAACACCCAAGCCACAACCTCCCAAACCAAAACCGTTGTCACCACCATCAACACCCAAGCCACAACCTCCAAAGCCAACACCATTGTCACCACCACCAACACCAAAGTCACAACCACCACCAACACCAAAGCCACAACCTCCAAAACCCACACCATTGTCACCACCACCAACACCAAAGCCACAACCTCCACAACCCACACCGTTGTCACCAGCACCAATTCCTACACTTCCTACCAGGCGTAACCCACCACCAGTATTCAAGGCACCAACCCCAACTCCAACTCCAACTCCAACTCCAACTCCAACCCCTACCCCTACCCCTACCCTTGCACCCAAAACATCGCCACCACCACAACCACCAAAGACGATTTTGAGGCCACCAACACCCTCACCAAAGCCATCTCCCGTTCCAACACCAAAACCAGTCCCGTCTCAACCTACGCCTTCAATAAAACCCCCAAGACCTGTGTCACCAGCACCGGTTTTCTCACCCGTACCAGCACCTGAACCGGTGAAAATAACTCCACCACCAAAAGCTGCCTCGCCAGTAGTGCCACCACGAGTTCAACCCCCAATGCGGCCAGTCCAATCGCCACCGCCACCACCACCGGTTCAGTCTCCACCCCCGCCAGTTTTCTCTCCCCCACCACCCGTATTTTCACCACCACCACCGGTTCGGTCTCCACCACCACCAGTAAGGTCCCCACCACCACCAGTCGTATTCTCACCACCTCCACCGGTTCGGTCCCCACCACCACCTGTCTTCTCTCCTCCACCACCGGTTCACTCCCCACCACCACCGGTATTCTCCCCACCACCACCCGTCCAATCACCACCACCACCATCACCAACCCCATCTCCTCCTCCTCCAACTCCTGCTCCCGCTCCCGCTCCAATCTTCTCTCCACCACCACCCGTCTTCTTCCCACCGCCGCCAGTCCAATCACCACCACCACCAACTCCATCTCCTCCTCCTCCTACTCCTGCCCCCTCTCCACAACCACCGAGCTTCGAAGACGTCTTCCTCCCACCAAACTTGGGTGCTGAGTACTCGTCGCCGCCACCACCAATGTTCCAAGGCTATTAAGTAGTCTACCGTCAGCATATTTCTACTTCATTATCTGTAATTTGAATCTACAGTGATGTACATGAGAAAAGTACATCAACTTCCCTCTTGATTGTCTAATGATGATGATATATGTACAATTACAGGAAATTGCCTCTCGTATTTTGACCTCTTTTTACTTCTCAATTCTTTCTACCACTTTTCGAAACTTTCAAATAAGTCACATTTATTTTTAAATTTTTTTTGAAATTACATGAAAAAAAATATATATATATATTTTTTGAGCGTGGCTTGTGTAAACAAATTTAAAAAGTAATTTTTTTTGAAAATTTTAAAAAAATAAAAAATGAAAACCAAAATAAGCCAAAACAGTTTCTTTCAAATGAATTTTTTTTTTCTTTAACTTGTCGAGTAAAATTTAGAAGCTTAAAGGGTTTTGAAAATTTTAAAAAAAAAATCGCAAAAGACAAAAATAAGCCAGTAAAAAAATAAACTTCAAACACTCACATACATTAGATGCGATAAATTTGCCAAATTATAAATAAAAAAAAATTAAGTGCATACATAGAGCTCCCTTAAATATGTTTTTGGTGGTTTTTTTTTTTTACTTCTTATAAATAAAAAAAATTACAAAATAAATAAAAATAATGATTTAACAACTTGTAGTGATATTTTGATTAAAAACTCACTTCCCAAACAAGACCTGATTATATGATGAAATGAAATTATGTTCTAGAAAAATTGAGTTAACAATGGGATAGATTGTAAGACAATTGCAGGGCTTTAACCATTTGGTTTGTCAAATATTTTTCAACAATTTCACAGAAACATTATCAAAAAAATTACATTTATTTTAGGTGTAACTCATACCTTACTAACTATAAATGTACACTGTATATTTCATTTCTAGAATAATTTTTTATGGTAAATTTTTTGGATACATATCCAATTTCAATATTGTTTGACTATGAACTCATTTTTACAATCAACAATGATTCATCCCCCTTTTCCCCCACCCCCTTTGACCCCCTCTCTCTCTCATTGGTTATTTTTTCTTTTTCTTTTTTTTTTCTACTCCTCCAATCACCACCCGCCACGTGGCAAAGGGAGGGGTGGGGGTGACCCCTAAAAGAGGATCCCAAGCATTATTCTTTTACAATTTCATATGACAGTTTTATATATAATTGATCATCAACATTGCTACATAGAAAAATTTCCACCCAAAAAAGTATATTGATGAATTATAATCATTTTAGGTGGTTCATATTTCACTAATTTTAAATTTCTATTACACATCTCATTTTGAAATAAAAATTAATTATTCGTAGTTTTTTTTAAAAAAAATCTTTTATAACGTAAGAGACATCAAATAATATTTTATACTTTCACAAAATATTATTTAAAAAAGGTCATGGGCAGATCTGTGTCAAAGGATTAAAAAAGGCAAAGGATACAATTTATAATTTTTCCGAATATTTTAACCTCTAGGTAAAAAAAAAGAAAAGGAAATTACAAATATACTCCTTAAGATTTACTTAAAGTACAGATTATCTCTTGTAGTTTGAAAATTACAAATACTATTTTGTTAAATTTTTTTATTTAACAGAATTAACTAAAAAAATAAAATTCATAATTGCCCTCCTATAAAATAATAAAATTACCTAAATTATTAATTGAAACATATTTATAACATCATTAAAAGATGTTAATTGGCTTGATGATTTATTAATAAGAAGGCGATTTGTTATGAAATTAGAAACTTCAGCGGTGGAATGTAATTTCCAAAATCACAGGGGCGATTTGTATTTTAATCAAACCTCAGGAGGTGTATTTGTAATTTACCCTAAAAAAATTAACATTTGTGTCAAAAAAAAAAATTTCAGGTTCTTTTAATCTAAAAAGAATTGAAAAGTAAATTTTATAAAATATATATAACAAAAATTCACTATAAGCAAAAAATAAAAAATAAAAAAAGATAGTGAACTTTATTCAAAATTTTCACGTTTTTACATTTTTTAACATTTTCTAGTTGAGTAATACTCAAAATTATTATTTTAAATTTTTTTAATTCACTAAAAAAAAGAGTTGCGAAAAAATCATTTGTCAAATGAACATTCAGTGTGTTTGGTTTCAATTTTTTGAATTCAATTTTCTGGAAATTGAGTTTTTGTTTTTCATATTTTATTTTTTTGTAAAAAAATTCACAAATATTATACTTTTTAAGTATATTTATGTTATGTGTATCTAGAAATTTAAAAAAAAAAAATTTGCTTAGAATATTAAAAAAATCAGTGAAAATAAAAAAATATATATATGAAAAAGAAAAAAAAATTAATTTTTTAAAAAGTAAATCCTAAAAATTCAAACCAAACAAGCTGATTAATATCCAAACAAAAAAATTAGACACAATTTTGAATTTTGGGTTATCTGGGGAGGCATGCACTCGGCTTGGAATCATGGGTTCCGTCGAGTTATTGTTGAGTCGGATAGTGCTGAAGCTGATGCGCGCGGGGGGGACATGCCCTCTGTATATAATTGTGTATATAAATGTAGTGTCAGAATATTATCAATAATGGTAGATTTTTATTTATTATGGTCAAGACTTTTGTGATTCTGTATTTATTTTTTTGTAGAAATTTTGTCCAAGCCTAAGGCTAAGCTTATAGCCTTGTCACGATTCAAACCCGCCCCTATGGGTTTAGCATCGTAATCAGCCAGTAATCCTTGGATTACCGAAGGCCTCTGAACAGATTAACAAGATTAAGGGACTAGCGGAAGCAAATACATAAATGTAGTTTTCCAATGAACTGTGCTGACTTATATGAAACAGAATATTTAAAAACTTTATGTACATAATCAAAAGTCATTCATACATTATACCCACACACCTTACAGTATTTTAAGTACAGCCAACGACATCAAATCAAGTCTTAAATAAACAGGAACAACAGAACTTAAACACTTGAGACACTCCAGGAACCTCCACGTGAGGCACAATGGTTGGCTGACAACAGAACACAGATCCAGACAAAAGTCTCCAGGCTCGGGCTCCAGAATGCTCACCTATACATATATATACACACAATGAGCTAAAGTCCAATGAATAACATTAAGGTAAAGGGTTTAGTGAACGAAATTCGAATATATCATAAGCAGTAAACAGACCAGAGTATAATCATTCTCATATCAGAACATAATAATGGTACATCCCATAGAACACATCACAGAACGTCTTCCGACTAGAGTAATCGGTTCCAGATACCGATTAAACACATATCACCACAATGAAATGACTAACGAGATCTCGTAATTACTTGTATGTCATGGACCCGCATTTTCATGCCGTCTCCCATGACTTGGGACTACCTATGAATGCCATAATAGATTTCAAACTTGGAATATTCGTTCACGAAAACAGATATCATTTCAAAAATTAGAACTTATCATATTTCATTTGGAACGTAATTCATATGAACGTATCTTTACAATAACGTTACTCACAGTGGTTCCAGTAAGCGGTCAATCAATCCTCAAGTCTTGACCTACAATCACAAAATACATAACACAAGCATGTCTTATCATTACACATTCAAGTGGCCATTAAGGCTTAGCTTTCATTACATTGGTTCTTATTCTTTCTTATCACATTGCCTAAAACACACACACTTGCAGTCTCGAAACTTGGTACATTCTTTTCTTAGTGTGTTTCTAATTCATAACCTCATTACTATGGCTTAATTAAGGCTTAGGAATGCCTAAGATGCAATGAGGATGCCAAAACATGCCTTGGAACACTTAGTCAAATTTTCTGAAAATAAGGTCCATGCTCGAGCGTAGCTTTCCTCGCTTGAGCGAACATGCAAAATGTGAATGGTTGCTTGAGCGCACATTCCTTCGCTCGAGCGATCTGTAAACGACATGAAACTTCTGGGAGCTTGCAATTCACGCTCGAGCGGACTTTTGGTCGCTCGAGTAGAGTGCACGCACTCAGAGTGGTCGCTCGAGCGTGAACTCCCACGCTTGAGCGCGTGGATGCAAATTTTGGAATTTCCAGATTGCACCTTCAAGCTCAAAACTCGAGTTCCAACCTTCAAAACACATCTCTTGGGTCCCAAAACTTGAGATAACATAGTAAACTTGTAAAACATGATGAATTAAGAATTATTTCATAAAATCATAGCCCAAGAGTTTGTTAAAAACTCACAATTTCAACTTAAAGCATGATGAATGTTCATGAACACAACATGCATGAATTTTTCTTGTATCAAACTTCTCAAAACATGGTCAAACACCACAGAACAACTTGAAATTTGATGATTTCCCTAAATGAAGATGAATTTCAAACATGCAAAAGATGATTCATGGAAATCATGCTCAATTTGTAAGAAAATGTATATGCATGCATGAATTGCAACTCAAATCTTTATTCTAAGCTCAACACACACCCTTAACTCATAATCTTGAAGAAATTTCATGTTAAATGACTTAGTTATATAATCTAGAGGTTGTAATCATACCTAGAATCTTGAATTACTGTTGTTCTAACACAATCTTGGTGAATTCAACACAAAACCTTCAATCTCTTCCTTCCTCTCTCTAGAATTGTGCTCCATCTCTTTCTAAAATGAATTCTCATATTTTTTTGCACTAAGGGAGTAAAAGAAATGAGCTCAAAATGAGCTTAAGACTCATATATAAGTCTATGATGCTAAAACACATTAATTAGAATATTAGGCTAACCAAACATGACTTAATTAATCGTTCTGAATTAATTTTTAATAAAACTTGCCATAAGGTTCTAAAAATTCCAAATAACATATTGACGTAATCAATTTCGGTTTCGGATGCCGATAAGGCTTTCGATTTACATATTAAAGTGGAATTCCAAACAGATATTTCTATAAGTGACAGATAAAAGGTCAAAATCATACAAAGTGCAGAATAAACACATAATTTATTTTAATCCTCTCATTAACATCATTAAATACGGATTAGTGGCTAATCACGGATAGGGGTTGTTACAAGCTTTTAGTAGAAATGTGTAAAATTTTGGACGTATTAATATGCTAAGTTTCTACAATATAATAATGATAGGTAGACTAGGATGACTTTATAGTTTGTTTGTATATGTAAATTGTAGTCTATAAATTGGCTTTGAAGCC